CTGTCTGGGGAGCATCTGTCATGGAATCGTGGGTGTGGGTGTGGGTGTGGGTGTGGGTGTGGGTGTGGGTGTGGGTGTGGGTGTGGGGGTGGGTGTGGGTGTGGTGTGGGTGTGGGTGTGGGTGTGGGTGTGTGAGTATTGGGTGTGGGTGTGCAAGAGCTCACAGAATACCCACACCCACACCCCACATCCACACCCACCCACACCCACACCCACACCCCACACTCACACCCACATCCACATCCATACCCACCCACACCCACACCCCACACACACCCCCACACACACCCCCACACCCACCCACACCCACACCCACCCATACCCTGAATTCGATCTAATCGATTCTAACAGACATATATTATTGAAATCGAGACAAAAAAAGATATAGATAAATGCTTTGTCATTACTCATATCGTTTAGATCATACCATCAATTCGTCTGTTACTATAGTTATTGTGTTGCATCGACACTCTCATTTAATGTTTTCAATTTCAGCGAATCATCTTTTGTAGATTCTACTTCCCAGACGCAACTATTCTGATGCTGAGTTCGGCACGAACAACCTTTTTCTCTCCCAGTTAGTCTTGCTTCGAAAGAAAAAAAAACGTGGGACTGTTTTTTTAACTTTCCTTTACCTTTTCTTTGCACATGATCGTAATTTCTCTCAAAATGTCTTTTGTACGAAGTAACCATACAAACATGTCATCAAATTGTAAGTAAGAAATTCGTAAATAAATGAAATCGAAGCTGTTGAAGACCGATATTGTTTGTTGTGGAGATTAAGCATTTACTCATGCGGAAAATTAGATTAAGATTAATAATTGAGACACTAGTAGAAAATCTAATTCTCATATGTTAATATTCTAAAGACGAAAACAAAATTTTGCTTTTCACGTCATCTGTGTCAAAATAGTTGGCAATTGAATATGAAAAGGTTTTCTTTCTTTATCAAAACAAGAACATGAAAATCTATTCATTTCCAACAATAGAAATAAAAGAATAGTTGAAAACTCAAACTCATATCCATTTTGCCTAGTCACTGACAAGTTTTTCATCTTTAATCGATGAAAATAGCATATCTAGTGGAATCATGACTAAATCTAAATGATTAAGAATGTCAATGTATATCTAGAGCTACGCCATGCATTAAAAATGGAGACGGTTATAAATATCCAGTTTTGTCGTACTTCTTCCTTTTCTAATTTCTATCCTATTCTAAGTTGTTACACGAAACCACAATGGATTCGATTTGCATCGGTATTAATTTTTCGTTGTGAAAATATGTTCATTATTTAATTTCGTTTAGGACAAAACACTTTAACTGAAGTTCTAAAGAGCTCAAAATTCCGTTTGGACAGAATTTTATTTCTTCTCATATTAAATTCTAACTCAGACCCATTTAATACAAAATGTGCTGATTGGTTATCAGTTTTACTGCACTGACAACGAGTGACATATTATTTTTCAATTTAGCGGTTCAAGCTTTCAATTATCTTAATAGCTCGTCTTGTAGAGAATTGAACGCTCTACAAGATGATTGACCTAAAACTTCTCTAAAATTAGAAAAATGATCCCATAGCTCAGTAAGCTTTCATCAAAAGGAAATGTTGGCTACGTATTTGAAAAGAGTATTAAATTCTGATTCTAATCGACTGTCTTTTACTCTCTGGAGTCATTACTATATGACCAAAAAAGGAACGAACATTTTGTACCAAGACTTCCTAGACGTACGTTAAATCATAAATGTAGATGTTTAGCCGAATCCAAAACAATCATCCACTTTTATTATACTCGAGAATACAAGTCAAAGACAATGGACTACTTTTCAGCAGTATATTTCCGCGAAATTAATTTTGGAATTTTTCTCGAAATAAGTTTTCATCAGAGTCTATTTATTTGTTGGCTTAAATTTATTTATTGTGAACAAAATTGCTAGAATCTAAGCGAACAAACTCTCAGTAGACATGGGTGGACATTGGTTAGTTTTTCCACTATCTTTCATTCACATGTAACGTGAGAACAATTTTTTGCTAAGTGTAAGTAAGCTTTAGTACAACTTAAATTTCTCTATCATTCTACAAGTGTACAATATTGTTTTGTCGTGCATCTATGTACTATAATACATCAAAGTGAGGCAATAGATATCCAAGAAACTATCGCCATAAACTGCTTTCTTTCAAAAGACTTGCTTCATCGTCCGAAAAACTTTATGAAATATTTGTTTTTGATAGAAACATGATAGAAAGCTAAGATTTTCACTATTGGAAAGGGCAGATGAAAATGCGTCAAATTACATAAGACAATAACTTTTAACTTGGACTTTTGGACCCTTTTTCAATAGTTTAACAAAGACATACTTTAAAAAACGGAGTATTTTTTTACAGAAATTGCTGGCAAAGTGAACTCGAATATAATACCGAGAACTCCCAAAAGAGTAAAGATTTGAATCAAGCGGTATATATAGTTTTGTAGCTCGTCAGATGGCGATTCTAATCCACTCCTCAAAGTTTAAGATTTGTTCTATCTTCATAGAGCAACAGTCTACCCTTCCAAGAGGGCCATATTTCACTATTTATTTATGAAATAAATCTCAACAATTTTATATGAATCGATGTACTAGATCAGCTTTTATCCAACGGTGAAAATCGCAGCTCTCTGTCTTGTACTATCAAAAGTTATTCAAAATATATTCACCCGCCTTTTTCTTTGAAATGGGCATTAGTTTATGAATATTCGTACGAATTCATTTTAGATCTATATATTTTCATAAGAAATAATATAATTCGATTGATTTTCTTTCAAGAGAAATGGCAACAGGAAACGAATCAAGTTTATGTTCTATCTGCAATGAATCAGAAGGAATTCACTTTTGCATTGGATGCAATAAATATTTTTGCCAAAAGCATTTAAGAGAACATAAAAAACAATTAGCAATTAAATTCGATGATGAAGTAGTCAGATCTCATGATGAACTTCTGGATCAAATAAAATATTTAGAAAAATCAAATTATTTGTCATCGGATCTTGTCACTCAAATTGAACAATGGAAACAAACAACAACCGCGAAAGTTGAAAGAGCAGCAGAAAAGGCACAGCATGAACTTGCCGAGCTAATAGATAAACAACAAGCCAAAGTAACAAAAGAACTTCAATCAATTACAGATCAAATTCGTTCACGTCAAGAACAAGAAATGTTTACTGAAAATGATATTGATCAACTTAAACAAGAAATCGATAAAATTAAACAACAACTTGAAAACTCATTCAAAAAAGATAAAAATCAAAGCATCATTATTGAAAATAATCAAATTAATTGGAATCGGCTTCTCTACATTGGTAAAATCCAGGGTAAGCGTAATATTAAATGACAACTAAGTCCAGAAAGCAAATCCACTATGAGTATTTTCAAAATAAGCTCTGAAAGAAAATAAAACTTGAGACCATCTATTCATGGCAACCTAAACCCACTATCTCGTCTAATTTCGAGCAAAAAATTTTCGACTGATCTCTATATCAATGCGTGAATGTTAAAATATTAGCTACGATGGTTCTAAGTTTATCTTCCATCCTCTAATTGTTTTAACCAACATTTATTCAATAATAATCACTTCTATATTCGGTTGGCACATAAATTCTGCACATTTTGATGGATAGAATATACTGCTGATATAAAACAAAATTTTAAGAAAAGTAATTATATATCCTGATAGCGCTCGGATTTCTCTATTATTTTGTATATTTAAGTCTTGACTTGCATTCATTTGCTGAAAAATATTTCGACTACAATGAAGACACTCTCATCCATATTGACAATATTCGAAATATTTCTCAGCAAATAAGCTCAAGCCAAAATCTGAACGTACAAGGCGACAGAACATTTCAAGGGCTATCAGAATATATAATTACTTTTCTTAAAATCTTGTTTTATATCAGCAGTATATTCTCTATTGATCAAAATGTGCAGAATTTATGTGCCGACCGAATATATTGCTTGTTCTTTGCCATCAAAATCATCGGTTTGTTTCATTTTCTACGACCTGAAGATAAGTAATTAATCATTACTTTGCATAATATGTAGGAAAAGAGCTACAATGTTCAGTTGTCTTGATTCCTTGATTCACTTTCTATGAAGGATACAGAAAAAGGATTCAAATCTATGCGTTTCTGCCTGTTCATTTTGGTAAAAAATATTTTCGAATTTTCTGGAGCAATGGCAATGTTATAGACAAAGTATTTATCCTATAAAAAGAAAACTTCTGATTTGAGGATACGTTGGGGATATTAAGAAAAGTCTATGATAAAATTTTTAGCCCAAAACAATTTCATTTAAGGTAGACGTTCACCCAACGAGATCAAAAAATATTCAAGATGCAGGGCTCTACGTCGTCCTTTTTTTTGAAATACCCTCTTTTTAATTGCAAAAAATAGATCACTGACTTTATGTTGACTAAAGAAATGAGATATGTCAAAGAAAGGGCGACCTAGTGCCCTGCATTCTGACGCACTCTTTCAAACAAAAAAAATATTTATATATTGGACGAACAATTACAGAGAAATCTGGGATGCACGTACGAGAAAACGAAAAAAAGATTTTTGGATATTTCAAAAAACCGCTGGTTTTTCAAAAACCGGTTCTCTGAAAATCTGAAAAAATTCTAGGAAAATTTTTAATTAATTCTGAAAGAGCAGACTTTTCTCCACAAAATCTACTAAGTCACATAGCTTGAGAAGAAAGTCATTTTGAGACACGTCAATTGAGTTTTTCTTGCATTTTACGCTATTTTAAAATCGTTTAGAGAAAACTTTGAACTTTTAACAATATGATTTTACGAAATCATAATTGGATAATTAAGTAGATATGAATCGTCTTAATTAGGCACCAACAAGAAAAACTAATTTGAAAGACAAGGTAGACAGTTCCGCAGAGTTTGAAATTCAAGAAAATGAACGAAAAAATCAAAAAGCATTAGTACCATTTATTATGACCTCATCATTATGAGGAAAAATAAATTTGTGACGTTTTATAAATATTATATATTTATATAATATTTTGAACTTTCGTGGTTTATATTGTAAGCGTTCTACTTTCCAGGAATAAATGTACTATGATTTTCTTCTTGGCATTAAATGCTTACTATAGGATTTTAAAAGGGGAAATTGAAAACCTTCTACAGAGTGAATAAAAAAAGCGAATAATCGATATATTCTTACTCTCATGCTTGTCACGACGAAAGTTTCTCTTTTGCACATTTACTCTATCGTAGAAAAATGTTCAAAGTGGATAGCTACAACTTTTATTACTCTATCAAAGTGCACCGTCGAAACGAATTCACTCTGCATGAAATTGAAACTTATTGCCTAATGATTTCTTGGAAACGGTACATATTGCCCAATGCTATAAAATCATGATATACTGTGTTCGAAGACTTCAGTGATGCTGGAGTATAAATCATCTCTTACAGAAATTTAATCGAATGATCGAGAAAAAAATAATTGACTATCTTTTTCAGTGAATCGACGGTCATTATTCATGATAATAGCAATTTAAGAATATTTTCTTCGTAAAAATACTCATCGAGTCACTGAAAGTTCCATCATAGACACCCAAAAAGCGCATGTATTTACTTTTCTGAGAGCCTTCAATCGTATAGAAAGAAACCGACCGTAGTAAATTAAGCTAAACACTTATATAGCAGCAGTAATGACAAGACTTTTTCAACTTTATAAATGCCAAATGGATTCATTATGTAAAGGAAAGTGCTCTGAAAATACTATCCACGAATTAAGAATAACTGCAATGAAATTAAAATCTTTAATTCAGGGGATACATAGATGGTCGAAAATTATAGCCGTATACGAGAACACTTTTAAACTTGAAAAGATTCACTAATTATAAACTAGAGGTATACTCGCCAAAATTTGATTGTTTGTTTTTCTCATGAGCATTCGAAAGGTCATCACCTAAAATCACTAAATCCCAATTTTCAGTTCATTTGGATGCTTTGTAGTAAACTTAACTTCTATTGAGTTTTTACCACTACCTGTTATTAGGCAGCTAAGAAGTAACTGAAGGAATTTGAGGTTTCGTTCAGAAGAAAATTATCAAGCCTAGTTTTTACGCAGAAAAACTTGAAAAATTACAAGTAGAATGTAAACAAGAATGATTATTTGTAACTATTTGCTAAAGCCTTCATTAGATTAACGTTTGTGAAGAACTAGTGCATTCCATTTCTTCAAAACATGCCGTTCTTTAATATCTACTCGAGATTGGGTCGAATAATAGTCGTAGGAGACTATTTATCATTTCTTATGCCTAAATTTCTGTCGTCTGTACGAACAATTGAATTTATAATCCGAGACAATAGTCTTTTCCACTTTCTTTCTATACTGTCATACTTTACATGAAATTTATTGCCAAGTAGAGATATGACATGAGAGGTTTATTGTAATATGGCGTACAAATCATGTTGAAATACAATCCTCATGTTATATCTCTACTCAGTAATAAATTCGATGCGACGTATGATAGCAAAGAAATAAATGAGAAAGAAAGACTATTGTCCAGTGCAGTAGCTGTTAAAAGCAAAAAATATGAACGTCACTTAACCAGAACAACACTTGTCAATGGATCTGCAAAAGACTGAGTGTGAGTTTACCATTTAGAAAAGGAGGAAATTGAATGGAGTCTTATCTCACAGATTTTCTGACATAGTTTTCAGAGAGTTTGGACTTGAACATTATGGAAATTCATCTAGAGCATCAATTTACCAAAATGAATATTCTGTTTTGAGACATTCATTAGAATTATTGATCAAGGAGCAGTAAAATAGAGGAAGCCAAACATTATTAGAGTCAGTTCATGATTAATCATAGGCATTTACCCGCGAAAAGTTAGGCAGTTTTTTGATAAAATTAGCAGAAAAAGTTATTTTTCGTTATATGGTAGTAAAAGTTCACTCTGTAGATCCAGCTAAAGAAGTATCTTTTTTTGAATGAATCGAAAAGAACTCAGAAAAAATATATCAGAAATTTAATTAGACAGAATTTGTTGTGTTATTACCTCTACCTTCCAGCAGTGAAGATCACATATCTCTACCTGCCTTCCACCAAAAGATATTTATATCTGTTTATTTGAAAGAAATATTAGTAATTTTCAACTGCAGCAACAATTGGTTCTAAGTCTTCTTCAGAGTTTTCTTAGTTCCGCAGTGGTGGCATCGCACCTTAATTGAGAGTCATGAGTCTCTCTTCAATAAATACGCGGTTTTGTGTTAGCAATAAGTTTTTTTAAAGTGTGGCCCAATCCTCAGAATAATCTAGCTGGGAAACGGCCCATGGCTGAAAAATTCCTGACTGCGCCGCTGCCACACATTGTTTTTAATTCATTTCTCCTACTCGCCATTCTCAACTACAGAAATTGTCTTTTTTTCCGACTTATTTGCTTTGTTCATCTTTTACTAATATATATATGTCGTATAGAGATCATTTTCATTTTCTTTTTGATATAGTTAATTTTAATTTTTTGAAAACCTCAAACTGTAGAAATTAAACTTATCAGTGATGTTGAAATATTTTAATGAGGTGATAATCTAGAAAATACTACCGAAGTCAAACATCTTGTAAGCAAGATCTTATTAAGATCATGGGAATTATATCATTCACTATTATTTTCTCACAAGACCTTGAAAAAAACAAAAAGCGACATCATTAATGTATTGGTTACATAGTGACTAGTCATTCACCGTTTGTTTTAATGGATACTGAGCCGTATGTAAACAAAGTGATTGGACATAGGAAACATACATTTTTCAAAATAATTTTTTTCTAAACTCTTTCTCGACTATTAATCATTCGATAGAGTGCCGATCTCGATCGCTGATCGAACCATCTCCAGAACAGGCAGGTTCCAAGATCGGACTTGCTTCAGTTATTCGAAATAGGAATAATTAAAATGAAGATAAATTTACAAAATTTGATAACATGCTTGACTATGGTAATGTAACCATGATTGTAACCACACAATGTATGTTTAAAATCGATTCGTATTAGACAAAAAACAATTAGTCTATCTATTTAGATCATTCTAAGAGAAAACTTATGTGATATTTTGGATTGGAAATAGCTTTGTCTCTGAATCAAAGAAATCACCCATAGATGATAAGAAATTTTGGCGCTTAGTTATTTTAATCATTTTTAAAGTTATCTTATAAAAAAACCATGAGAAACTGCTTTAAAATTCTTTTATACAACAACTTTGAGATATCAAAATCAATTTGTCAGAAATTCTGAAGTTATAAATCTTCATCAAAGAAGAAATGAGAATGAAAAATTGAGAAACAGTATAACTCGTTTCAATCTTCAGTATCATAAAATAAAGCACTCGAAATGAAGAGAATACTCTACATTACAAAACTTGTTCTTTATTAATCTCTTTTTGGTAGTTGACTTTAAATATAACAAATATACCACAATTATTGTATTTGAAAAGAAAATAATAAAAACCTGATTCCTTTTTATTGTTGGATAGAACTCTAAAGATAATGGAGCAAAAAAATTTCATGAAGTTGTTGTAATATTCTTCTATCTAGCAAACATTTCTATCTGGTTAGTGTGCATGTGACAAAAACTTATATGATTGAACTTTTTTTCCCTCGAAGAAATCAGTAGTTTCCATGTGCTCGGTATCACTAACACATTGCTAATGTTCATGTCCGAGGTAGATAGCCGTGGGCATTTTTTGAATAAGTTCTCATAGGAATCAGACAGAGACTTGTAGTTTTCATCATTGTAAAGAGTAGATAAACTTAAAGAAAAGCAGCATGAGCCTTATCGTTACGATAATAATTAATTCATTTTTCAAAAGTGTGCTAGAACCTCCAAAAGAAAAAAACTACAGAACTATATCAATATTCTATTCCTAATTACTACCAGTGAAATATCCAAACGGTCGAAGCACAGTTTATCATCTCATCTGTTTAAAAATAGAAGAAACAAGTCATTCTTTGAAAATGTTTGGCTAAAACTGTTAGAACAGTAGTTAGAGACAGAAAAACGCAGACAGGAAATATCAGTTCCAAAAAATGACATATTCGATTAGAAAATACATATTTCATGAATATCTTATGAATTGTCAACAAAATGAAGAGCTCATTTACATTGACATTAATGTTTGTTTCTACTTCGTTCTTTTGTTTCATTTCAGTACCATTACGTGCAAGTATGGTTGGTATTCGTCCGAATGCAAAATGGTCAAAGCATGGTATCACTGTTGCTGGAGGAAATGGAAAAGGCAGTGAAACCAATCAACTCTCTGGCCCATTGAGTTTGTACGTTGACGATGATCAAACTGTTTATGTCGCTGATTATTATAATCACCGTATTGTGGAATGGAAACCTGGTGCAACGAATGGTACAGTGGTTGCTGGTGGAAATGGAGCGGGGAATGCAGCTCATCAATTAAATTGCCCACGAGACGTGATTATTGACAAAGACAGCAATAGTCTCATCATCTCTGATTACAGGAATGGAAGAGTTGTTCGATGGCCTCGTCGAAATGGCACTCTAGGAGAAACAATTATTTCAAATATCTATTGCTGGGGTTTGACAATGGACGACATTGGTTATCTCTATGTGGTTGACCATGAAAAACATGAAGTAAGACGACATAAAATTGGTGACACTCAAGGAACAGTGGTTGCAGGTGGTAATGGAGAAGGACATCGTCTCGATCAACTCTCTAGTCCCCACTACGTATTTGTGGATCAAGATCATTCAGTTTATGTGTCTGATTATGACAATTATCGTGTAATGAAATGGTATGAAGGTGCTAAACAAGGCATTGTCGTAGCCGGTGGTCAAGGAGCAGGAAATAATCTTAGACAACTCAATGGTCCTCAAGGAGTTGTTGTCGATCAATTTGGTACTGTCTATGTGGCTGATTGTTACAATCATCGAATCATGCGTTGGCCAGAAGGAGCCACACAAGGAAGTGTCATTATTGGTGGAAAGGGTCAAGGAGCACATCCGAATCAACTCAGTGTTCCCTTTGGTTTATCATTCGATCGACATGGCAGTCTATATGTCGCCGAGCACTACAATCATCGAGTACAAAAATTTAACATCAAATAAACTCAATTCGTATAATTTTTTTTGTGTTTCGTTCTCTTCTTTCTCTTTTGAATAAATCGCAATTGGATGAAAAAATGCATTGGAAGCTACTCAATTCTCGCACACGCACGGGAAGACTCATATTATTCACACCCACTTTCGTAGATGACTATGTGTCAATGAGTCTAGAAAGCCCAGTCGTGCGCCACGGACACTAAGGAAGTTCCTGGCCGGACTTTTAGGGACTATCCCAGAAATGCTTCTTATAAGGTGAAACTCTAACCCTCAACTAACATAATTCACCCTCCTCTCTTGCTCATCTCAACTCAACTCAACAAAAGAAAGAAACACTGATACCTCCATTCTTTTGTCTTGATTCGAATCTAATTGAATGATTTAGTTTTGCATCCTTGAATCTAATCTAAAATAAAAAAAGAAACTGATTAGTATTTGATTCAATAAATTGAATGATTTTCCATGTGAAATCATTCATATTTACATTCTGATAGTTTGATTTTTTTCTTTTTTTCGTCGGAGGATGATGAGTAGATGATATCAATTAAGCTAGAATCCAGATACACATATACATTGAGATAAATTAAATTACAGATATCTCAATGTATGTGTATGGATCACGCTTAATTGACGTACACCACCATTATATCAAATTTTTATTGATTATCAATAATAACCACAACCTTAACTCACGGACGTCGAGAGAAAAAAAATTAATCTTGACTTATGTATATGGAGCACCTGCTCTTTACTTATATTTCGGTGTTCTATCATGTCCGTCATGCAAAATATTTTTTAGACGAAAGGCTGGAATTTCGATAGGCAAGTTTTCTTATTTATTCTGATGTAATGATCAGATTAATCTCTTTTTTTTTATTAGTCAACATTAAAATGTGATTTAGATGGTCAATATAAAATCAATAGTAATAGACGTCATGTATGTGCTTCGTGTCGATTAGAGAAATGTTTTCAAATATGGAATCGTTTCAATTGTTTTATTCGAAACAAAAAACAAAAAAAATCTCTATCAACATCAACAGATCTATTGTCGACGCCAGAATTAAAGAGGGGTGGGTGTAGAATGAATATCTCGAGAACGGCAGTAGCTAGCGATCTGCGGTTTTCACCAACTGAAAGCGAAGCAGTCGGCACCTCTTTTTCTCTGATAATGTATAAGACGAAATCCTTTTAAAATTAATCATCTTCCAAAAACATGCAAAAGAATGTATGAAAATGACCCGACATCTAGATGAAATTTGATTTTGACCTTTGATTTAGATACAGGAAGTTGAGTTTCATAGTTGAAGATACAATGCACTTTCTTAATTTTCATTACATTTTCATCGAAACGTTACTCTATTAAGATAAAAAGTACGAAAACTTTGTAAAAAAATCAGCAAAATTCTCTATTATTTGTCCACGTAAATACATGATTCCAATAATATGAGAATCATTTGCATTCTATCTTGAACTATAGATCTGAAGGTCCTCTATGTAAATCGAAGATCAAAATCAAAATTTTATCTGGATGTCAGGTCATTTTCATACATTTTTTCGCATGTTTTTGGAAGATGATTAATTTTAAAAGCATTTTGTCTTATACATTATCGAAAAAAAAATGTGCCGACTGCTTCGCTTTCAGTTGGTGAAAACCGCAGATCGCTAGCTGCTGCCGTTCTCGAGATATTCATTCCACACCAGCTCCTCTTTAATTCTGGCGCCGACAATAGATGAACAGTTGTTATACTACCAAAACGAATTATTGGTCTTTCCTTTAACTTTTGTTTTTTGTTTGAAGAATGAAAATAATATTCATTAAATTTAATCCACATTAATTTAAGCATTTTCGTTTTAAGTTCTTTTATGAAATTGAATCATAAATCAATAATTTTGACATAAAACCATTGTTTAAGGTTCGTTTTTAAAACTTCTGGTTGATTTGATATAATATTATTAAAATTATTATAAATTTCATAAAGATAATCAAAATGAAATGGTAATACATAAAAGTAGTTTAAATGCATTTCAAATGATAAATTATGATCAATCCAATATTGATTTTCAAACTTTGATAGAATATTATTAGCATTGCAAGAATTCGCATTTAATTTAGCATAGAGATGAAATCTTTTAAGGTCTCTCATTGATTCTAACAAGTATTGAAGTTTAATACTATGAAATGGAAATTCATCTTCAGTTTGAATGTTCAAATCAAATGATAATCAAATTAATGATGATGAAAATTGTTTAATAAAATTGAATAATTGATTAAAATCAATTTGAAAAGGTCTTCGTCCGTAAGATGGTAATAACTTTTGTTTTGAATTTATGATTTATATTGATAATTGGATTCTGATGTTGATAACGTGATTCACATTGAATATTTAAATAGTCCAAATCTGATGTAGAAAAAAACACTGAATATATATCATGAAAATCAGTTAATATTAATGTTAACGAATGTAAAGAAAAATGTATTTATATCTGTTTGTGATAATCGTGGTATTACTGATGAATATTGCAAAGTTCTTAAGGAATTTTTATAATTAAAATGTTTTTTAAATAATATTTTGTTTAATTAGAAAATTCTCAATAACAGCATCAGGAAATATTTCATTTTCTTTTATCATTAAACAATGTAAAGATTTAAATATATCACATTCAATAATTGATATTAATTCTTCATTTGGAAAACCATATGATGAACCTATTATTATAGATTTTAAATTTGAAAATAATGACAATTGAAATGTTATATCAAATGTTGAAATATTTGATATTTCTATTTGTGAAGCAATGTTTGCAAGAATATTTTTCCAAATACTTATATTTGTTGTTGGTAATTCGAAATGGTTTAAATAGCGTTTATTATTTAATAATAAATTATTGAATCGTTGATTTAAATAAAAGAATGTACAAATAACACCATTATTTAATAAATAATCAAATATTTTTGATTCAGCAGGCATATTTTAAATGAATAGATACTCTTTTCTTAGTATATAAAATGTGTTCTATTGACATAACAAGAGGAAATTGCTATCTTGAATTTCTTCATATAAGTATAATGATAATATGACATGTCAAAATATTGACATTCAGAAACTAATTCCTGACGGCACAAGTAATCAGATAAAATTCGTCTATATGTTGAAAAATAGGAATATTTTTTCTTTTGAAGAATTGCTGAAGTGTAAACTATCAAATAGAATACTATTCATCGCTATTTTTATACTAAGGTGTCAGGTGTGGGTGTGGGTTAAGCTACCATGATATCGATGTTTCATCTTGGCAACGAGAATTTTCAAATGGCACTCCTAACGAAAAAGCTTGCTAGTGCATTTCCAAAGGAGCTGAAATAGGAAACCCACATATATTCTTCAAACCTATTATCTTGTGTGTGGGTGTGGGGTGTGGGTGGGTGTGAGTGTGCGTGTGCGTGTGAGTGTGCGTGTGCGTGTGGGTGGGTGTGGGTGAGTGTGAGTGTGCGTGTGGGTGGGTGTGAGTGTGGGTGTAATTCTTCAATATCTCACACCGTACGCTCCACACCAACACCCACACCCACACCCATACCCACACCTCCACACCCACCCTATGATGAAATTTCAAGCTGAATCCGACATACTTAGAGAGGACGGATGTGAACAAATTCAATGAGAAATCAAAGATTTCCTCAAGTGCCTCTGAAAAATCTATGAAGATCTTCATTTAAAAAAATTTTCCTCAAACACGAGTCCCGTCATTTGTGATGCTCTAGCTGTAGAAAAAGTTTCAGCCCAATCGATGGTATCCTCACTATGAAGCGGATATGAGTAAAAAAGAGGGAATATATTCTTAAAAGAAATCGTTCAAATTCATATATCTGACAATGATCTTTGCAACAGGTGCAAGCAACATGGCCGATCCATTGGTCCTTCCAGTCGATTTGAACTTTGACAATGCTGGCAATATGTATGTTTGTGAAAGTGGCAGCCACCGTGTACAGGTTTTTGCTTCAATTAAAATTCAATCATGTTCAACATCAAAAGGTAATTTAAATGCTTCTTGGTTGACCACTGGTTTTGTTAACTTTTTTCCTTCTTTGTTATCATCTATGAGAGCAATATCAATCATTTTCACACTTTCGTTCTACTATGCCGAATATTTAAGTGCAACTGTTGTCACAATGTTTACATGGTTCAATATGGAGCTATTTTGATCGTCATTGACTAGGTTATGAGATGAACACGAAGATTTTCACTTTTGATTACATCATTTCTGATTCTTTCTTTTCTCTTCATTTGCCTTTCAGTACCTTCAAAAAGGAAATTTAACCAAATTTCAATTTGGGTGTGGGTGTGTGGGTGTTCATGCCAAAAAGACTCAGATCCAGGCGAATATTTACAATCGAACCCACACACGCCCACATCCCTTTTTTATCATTGTCTTTGATCAATCCAAATAAAGAATCTTAACTCTTAAGCAAATGTTATCTGATGAGCGCGATCAGAAAATAATTTCGACATCCAACAAAGAGGTATGTATGACTATGGTTACGATTGGCTGTGAACGTACAGATGTCGATATTCTCTTTAACAACACTCACACTCACACCTCCTCAGTAAGAATTAGAAAAGGAAAGCGAGAAAAAAAAATTGAAAAGAACACTGTCGAGAAATAAAAACATAAAAGAATGAGTTGACAGAAGGGTAGTGAATGTACACGGTTACAAGAATATGTACACACACACAGGGTGTTTACCTAAGAGAGTGCACATGTCTTTTTAATCGTTAACATACACATGCAACCCTTTTACCAACTCATTCTTTTGCGTTTCTCTTTCTCGATACGCCTCTCAAATATTTTCTCTTATTATTTTTCTGATTCTTGTTGAATGTAAATGTTGAAGAGTTATTCGTGCGTTGTGATTCTTACTGCGGATGATGTAGATAGTGAAATATTGAATTTAAGATGAATTTAAAATTTGGTTCCATTAAAACGATTAATATTCAAAATTTATATGTATGTGACAAAAACATATTTCTTTATTTTACTTGCCGTAAGCAATATTGTGCATACAATCAAGGCTCTCGATTGTTTTTGAGAGTGGGGGGGGGGGGGGGGGGGGGGACGTTTTTTTTTTTTTTTCTTTCTCACCCCACGTTCTGTGCGTTTCGTAAAGGCAGG